CTGTACTTCACATTCACGGTCTCTTTCCCCAGTGCTCTGCTTCCCCAGTCACTTCCATGAGCCTTGGCTGCAGCTGGCCCTTGTAGGTCTCTTCCAAGTCTGTGTGTCTGAGCCGAGACAATTGATTAATGCACAAGCAGACCGGCTTGTTGAAACAAATGTGTGGCCATTCTCCCAAAGACAAGAAACAGGACAAAGGCAACAAAAGGCCTTCTCCTGCCCAGCTCGGCATACCTGCCAAAACTGAGTAGAAGAAACTTCCCCAAGGAACACTCTCTGTTCCTTCTGACTTCAACCTGGGCCCTCCCCCTGCCCCCCATCTGATCCTTTAACATCCCCTCGAGATCCAAGTTGGTAACAATTAACCAGTTGAAAATGCACGTGGACATTCACCATACTGCTGAAACTAAATACAAAGAGATCCTAGTTTTAACCTTCCAGAGAAAAGGGTGAAAGGGGCACAATGGGGATGGGAACTCTCTTTACAAGTGAGGATTTATTGAAAGGTTATTGATGCCATTTCGTACAAAATAAATGCCTGCTTTCCAGGAATTGCATTGCTAAATGATACATGGCTCACTAAAATGCTGCAATAGAGTCTGTCTGCAAATTAAAATCAACCAGCTCACCTCAGCCAGGCATTCGGCAGCATTTTCACGGTGAGGCTCATGTCTCGGTACAGAAAATGTCTCTTGGAAGCCTCTCTTATTGTCCTTTTCCCCATTCTGCCCAAATCACCCAGACTCTTCCTCTTCCATTCACAATTATATAAAGTCTTAGCAGCACTTACTGAAAAACTGTCCTGGCAGAAAAGGTTGAAATTCTCTGCTGGCTTCAGTATCTGAGAACGCATCTTCTCCCTGTGTCTATTTAGCTCTGAATATTGGTAAAGAATGGCTAGTTTTGTTCCTCCTCTGATCTTCCTGCTTTTTTTTTATGGATGACTTTCCTGTTACCAAACGGATCTCTGCAGGCCACTAATAAATGCTGCTCAGGCCTCCTAGGTTCAAATGAGCCCTTATTGAAAACTGCTGATTTATGCTATTCTCTATTTATTGCCCCTGACAGTCCATAACTTCATGTTATAACTTCAGTTCTTAATTGGCAAATCTTTTCACAAGGTAACTGCTTCCCTGATGTTTCAGTAACATTGTAAGCAAAGATCAAGCACACACAAACATACAGTGTCACAATAACCTTGAGACCCCTGTAGTTGTAGAAATAAGCTTAGGAACCAAATCAGCATAAACAGGGGCCTATTTTTCCTTAGGCAAAGCAGGCACTAGACTTTAGTAGAAGGCAGAAGCTAGGGTGGATTAGGTTGAGCAATTCATATAAAACTAACCTCTGGGCCAAAGGCATGTTTTTGATTACTGTTGGGAAGTATAGGGAATAATGGTGCAGGATCCTAACCCAGCATCACTGAATCTGGGGGCCCGTTTAGACTAAAAACAATCGGGTAATCCCTTCAATTTGATCCTGCTCCAATCCATTTCTGGCAGCATAGTTTGCAGACCTATGGCTCCTGCTTTTGGACTCATTATGTTTTTAAAGGTGATCCGTCTCTGTCTCTCCTCTGACATGACCTGCTCAGTTCTTCCATCTCATTTTCCCCTCCACGAAAAGAGCACAAGGGATGCAGTTAAAATGACTCCATAATGCTGGTTAATCACTACCATGGGCTGCAGACTAATACTGATGTATAACAAGGGCTGGTCATTTGAAGACAGTAGAAAAGAGGTAATGGGGTTGCTCATCATCATGCATGAACAATAGCACAAGCTGTAGCTTCAAAACCAAACTTTCCAACAGCCTTCCGTACAGCTGTTCTTCTACAGCACACCTTGTCAGCTTGCAAAACAACTGTCATGCTGCACTGCATTTCTATTTTCAATATTTAAATGAAAATATTAAATAACCAAAACCACAATAAAATCTGCAGCCTGAACCTAGAAGGCACAGCTGTGCCAATGCTTAAAAAGAATGTACTTCTCTTTCCTTTATAGACAGCACAGTCTAATGGCCAGGAACCTGGGAGAAAACAGTCCTGTGTACCACCTACCTCTACTTTAGATCAGCCTATTCTCTTTCGAAGGATGTTGAGAATTCGGCAGAGGCTGTGGAGCTGGGCGCTTATTTGGGAGGTGTTCCACACTAGGTTTACAATGGGGTGTTTTGTATGTACATAATCTCTCTGCTGGTGTCCAGATGCTTTAATTGATCATTTATTACAGTGCTCTACAATGAACTGAAGCTAGGTCTGTGTCTATGGGCAGCAACCTGGTCCTTGAAGGTGGGTATCCTTTGAAGATTTCAGTAATGCTGTAAGCCAATGTTTATAAGATTCTCCAGATGTTACTTGAGGCCATAGACCCCTGCACTGGACATTTAAGTATCCATAATCATGATATGCTAATGTTCCCCAGGCCTGCTAAGGATATCAGTCAAGTACTCGCATGAAATGCAATGGACTTCATTGAAAATAACAGTTATAGGGGACATGGGCAATGGAAAGTGTTAATGGCCGAATGTGACTGATGGACAGCTATAACCATCTGATATTTACCTTCTTGAACTAAACTCAAATTCCCCAGCAAATGCATGAAAGCATCAGTGGGAGAGTTAGAAGAAATCAAGAAACCAGAGACCAGTTTCTTTGGTGTCTGCAGGAAACAGTTGTGGTGATCTTCAAAGTCCAGAACTGGCATTGTTACTGGAAAAAAACCAGTGCAGTCT